AGTGTCTTTACAAGCAGACTGACTCTGGGGGTAAGATAAGGCTGATACTGGGAGATAGAAGGAAACAACAGAAAGGATTTCCATAGGATTGAGTTATCCCAGACTATGTTAATAGACTACAAGAGCAGAGACACAGAGATGTGTATTGAAAGGGGGCAATGTATGATAGAAGGGGSRGGCGGGTTCCATCAGGCATTTCAGGCAGCCTGTACCTCTCAAGTACCTCAGCCAGTGGGGAAAGAGAGAGGGAACTGCGGCCGGGAAATTAGGATWAAAAGAGGCTGCGTCCTCTATTGAGTTTGAGAGACCCCATGGAAAATGCCCACGACCTCTCCCTTTATTCATGAATAAAGTTGCAGGATCCTCTGTCTCCCTTTTGGACATAAACCTCTGGTGYTTGTGGATTAATTTTCCTAACACTGCCCTCCAGCCAGCCCCTCTCCACCATGCTCCAAGACTAAGAAAACTGTTTTGAGAGGGTTAAAGCTGGCACCATTTTGTGTGTTAAATGTGTCTTCTTGGGTCCCTATCAAACAGACAKGGCTGAGGGTCAGGCATTGAGGAGGACCTGACTGCACCCTAGCATTTGCATGTGGTTTGAAGTGTTCTGTTGGAGCCTCTGCCCACCCCTGCTGTGCTCCAAGGGGTGCGGGTTCAGGCAGCAGTGGTTGTGCAGGAGCACGACCGGTGTTGATGTTGTGGGAAGGAGGCAGAGCTGCCCTTTTCGCTCRGAACATGGAGAGGACCTTTTGCTGGGGCGAAAGTCTCGGTGRTTTTGTAGCTCCTGGGCTTGGCCACATGAGCCCAAGCAGTGCAGGTGGGGGTACAGCCCCACGTCCTCCCTTGCGGGCAGAATAACTATTTAGCTATTGACATGCTGGAGGAGCTGGCATTGGTCACTCTGGAGAACACTCAGAGCCCCTTCCAGTGACTAAAGAGGCTCCAAGAAGGTTGGAGAGGAACTTTGGGTGCGGCATGTAGTGATAGGACAAGGCACAACGAAAAGAAGGCAGTTTTAGATTGGACATAAAGAAGAAGTGCCCTGAGGCGAGACACTGGCACATGTTTCACAGATCAGCTGCGGCTGCCCCATCCCTGGCAATATTCAGGGCCAAGCTGGACGGGGCACTGAGCATCCCTGTCCTGTAAGGGGGACAAGGCGGACCGCAGGACCCTTAATGGCGGCGCCCCCAACTACATCTCCCGGCGTGCTCCGCGGCGCTGCGCATGCGCCCCGCTTSGAAGCTTCCAGTCGATGCGCGAGGTGGCTGCTGGGTAGAAGACGGGCGGTCCCCTCGGCGCCATTTTGTGGCGAGGCAGTGAGAGGGGTTGCGCGGGTGTGCTCGGCGTGTGGTGCCGGACAGTGCTGTGCCGGGTGCCTGCGGATCCTGGGCGGCGGCATGGGCTCGGACAAGCGGTGAGCGGCGGCGGGAGGGTGAGGGGAGACGGGAGGAGGCGGGCAGTGGTGGGCAGTGGTGGGGGTCGCGGCGGGCGCTTCACGCTCGGCCCTCTGTGCCCCACAGGGTGAGCAGGACGGAGCGGAGCGGCCGCTATGGCTCCATCGTGGAGAGGGAGGACCGCGACGAGCGGGAGTCCCGCAGCCGGCGCAGGGATGACTACAAGAGGTCCAGTGAGGAGCGCCGCGACCGCTACGATGACTATCGCGACTACGATAGCCGAGACTACGATAGCCGAGACTACGACAGCCGCGATAGCCGAGACTGCCGCGACTACGACAGTCGAGACTACGACAGTCGAGACAGCCGGGTCTGCCGGGACTACGACAGTCGCGACAGCCGCGATTGCCGAGACTACGACAGCCGAGATTGCCGCGACTACGACAGCCGGGACAGCCGAGACTACGACAGCCGGGACAGCCGAGACTACGATTGCCGGGACTACGATAGCCGGGATTGCCGAGACTACGACAGTCGCGATAGCCGAGACTATGATAGAGACTACGACAGCCGCGATTACGATAGCCCCGAGGTGAGCGCGGCGGGCGAGCCCGGTCGGGGGCTGGGTCCGGCACTGCGGGGTGTGCGGGGCGGAGGGCACCGGGAGCGGGTGTGATCCTGCAGCGCTGGCCGAGGCCCGGGGACCGGCCCGGGGCWGGCAGCCGGTGTCAGTGTCGCTGTCCGTTCGTGTGGCACTGCGGGGATACGCTGCAGGGAATCGCGGTGGCTAATCCTGGGCGCTGATTTCCAGAGGGAGCGTGAGCGCAGGAACAGCGACAAATCAGAGGATGGGTACCATTCCGATGGCGACTACGGAGAGCACGACTACAGGAACGATATTAACGATGAAAAAGAAAGCAAGACCATCATGTTGCGTGGGCTCCCCATCACGGTTACGGAGAACGATGTGAGTACAGAGCTGTGCCTGCCTTGCCGCCAGGCAGGGCTGTGCYGGAGCGGCTGCTGCCATTTTGTTGAGCGCTGCATCATGGTGGCCTCTCTCCAGCGCYGTCGCGCTGCCATTTTGAGTCCTGAAAGCGTTTAAACTCTCAGTGTTAAATAACAGGGGTCAGTTCAATGTTAACCAGTTCATTTCAAACGGAGGAGCCCTGAATATTCGTTTTTTTCCCGCATGTTTGGTTGCTTGCCCTAAGAGTGGATTTTAAACTACCTGCTCTTTGCTGCTTTTCTATGTGGAAGGGAAGAGACAGGTTTTTTTGCTGCTTCTCCCCTTTGCTGGGAGAGGGGAGTGGGACAGAGACATAGAGGTGGCACTCGTCAGTTTTTCTGGTCTTTATCGAGGCCAGAACTTGTGACCGATGGGGTCACACACAGGCACCGAGCTCCTCAGTCGAGCACAGCCCTGCACAAAGCTGCTTTGTGTGGGCACAGCTGTGGGAGTCAAAATGGCTGCTGCTGAGCTGACGGAGCAAGTACTGACGAGCTTGGTACTTGCTTGTCTAACTTATTTAATGAAAAGATGTTAAAGTTTTAAGGTTTTTTCTGTATGGTTATTTTTTAGGTTTTTTTTTTTTTTCCTGCTGGGTTATTTTGGTTACCAAGCTACAGGCCCACGACTGTTATTTGAGGGGTAAAAGCTGAGCTATCCCAGTTTGTTTTCAGTCAGACTCCACCTCGGCCTCCAAGGTGTTCAGGCATTGATTGCTAGTGCGCAGAATGCTTTTGCACCATTTCTACAATGGAACTTTTTTTTCCATTTTTCTCCCTCTTTTTTTTTTTAATTGATTACTTGTTACCTTCCTGATACTGAGGATTCTTATTTACTGCTAAGAGAGTATATTGCTCTTAATATTTTCATGAGTGCTTGAAATAAATGGTAGGCTCCTGCATACAAATGAGACAGCCCACTCAGGCRTTACACAGAGCACTTAGAACAGTTCTTCCTTTTGAGATACTGATGTTGTAGCTCTGCAGTTGTGTAATAACTGCAACATCGTTCTGCACTTACCTTAGAGTGTAGACAATGCAYTTTGGAACTTACAGTTTAATTCTTAACACTACTTTTAGTTGTGTACACAGTTTTCTGGGGKTTTTTTTTCTGCATTTTTCTTAAAAATCTACTTGCATTGCTGGTAATATTTTAGTTAGCATATAAATGGGCACCTTTAGATAAGTTTTGATTCTGCTGAGCAGCCCTGTTGGATGAAATGTAATTTGAATTCCCTGAAAGCTGCAGAAAAACCTTTTGTCTTCTGCTTTAGAATTGAAATATTTGTTAGTGTTTCTTTTTCCTTCATGCCTCTGCACAGTGACTTATGTCACCTGTGTCGCAGCCTAAGCAGCTTTGTTACAGCTGAAGAACTGACGTCTTTTTAGCTTTTTTTTTTGATGACACATTCTTCACAAATCTACTTCATTCTGAAAAACTGTTGGAGATCTGTTAAGAGGATGAGATCTTTAGCTTAAGGCTTAGGAATATGCTCATTCCAGTGCCTTGCAGTGGAGGCTTCTCATTTTTCATTGCTATAAGCAAAGGGTATTTAGACATGCAGAGAGAGGGATACCAGCAATGTTAATATTAAAGACTTGGTGTCTAGCACAGTCTTTGCCRAATACTGCCCAAATAATCTCAG